TTTGCCTCGGGCTGCTGGGCTGATGTCTGGTTCTACTGCGTGTCGTGCTGGTCACAGAGATGTACGCCTCCCTGTAATGCTACCACGCAGTTCTTGGCTCAATGAATCTCGGTTTGTTCATGGAATGGAGATAATGATGATGGCTGCTAGCGATGATGGGATGGATGATGATAATGAATGATGATGATTATGATGATTTGATGATGCTGATGAGATGATGATGGGGAATTTTTTGGATGATTTATGTTGATGAAACAATATGAATAATAACAACTATGATAATGTTCGATTAGTGTGGGGTGATGAACAATAATAAATGTTTAGTGATATCAATAATATGTTGGTGATGACAATAGATAATGAGTGATGGTGATAGTGGTGGCAGTTATAATGTGTTATTTTAACAATAGGTGTTTCATAATTAAGTTCCTATGACTATGAGGAGAATTATTGTGCCATATCAGTTAGGCCTCTACAAATTTAGTTAGATTATCGAACAAAAGCTGCAGTTCCCTACAGTGAGAACCTTCTCTTGTTGTAGGTGGTGCTACAGTCTAGGACGAAGGATTGGTTATGGAAATGACGACGATTACACTCGATACGGTAACACTATTATAGTTCAGTGTACATACGGACATACACTAAATACACGAATAATAACGCGCAGCCATAAGGTTAACTGAATCGTCGAAGAATTAATTCATGTTTGCTCGCATCGTCCTGAGGTTTCACGAGAATCGTCCGTCATGGTGAGGCTGTATGTGGACAGTGCCTGAGTATGTTCTCTTGTTTGTGAGTACGTACAGAGACATCGTGCAAGGTCTCTGGAACACGACTATGACCACGCGCCAGGATCAATACTCTGAGGTGTGTGACACAGAAGCAGCGCAGGAATGTTGTCATCATGTGATATTATGAAAACTCCTGATTATGTGTAATCAGATAATTAATAGGTGCGCATTATATAATTAGTCTATATCTGTTACATGTATGTTGGTATATATGTTACACATATAGCAATATTATATAATGGCATGTTGTAATGTGGTATATATATAGGGTCACACTGTATGTCGTGATATGTGTTACATTTATGTTGTAAATATATGTACATATGTTGTATATATAGTTACACGTATATCGTATAGTACAACTTCACTTTGTAGGTGATATATATAATTCACGTGCTACTCTCATATTTGGTTACACTGCATTTTTGTACAGATGTTACCAGTGGTATATCATTTTCATTTATAACTGCAGCCTAGTGTTATGTCACATGTCACCTACATCCTAGTATACATAGAATTCAGCGCTATGTAATATTATTTTGCTAAGATAGATTCCGCATCATAATCTTCAAACTGGAGATGGAAACAAATTTGTAAAAAACTTTCAGGAGTTGCGAAGCTTATTTGTGGCATTTCGGTATATCGTTTTGACGTTCACTTGTTGTTTTCGCTGCAGGCGGCTGACGGAAGCTCGGGCACAGCATGCACATAGCGGGCGCAGCTGGTAAAGTTCTCGGCGCTCAGCACAAGTCGCGCTACAACTGCCCTGTCGCAAGCGCAGACGACATACTGTCGGCGGAGAACGGCTACACCAGCGTTGGCGCTGTCTCTCTACTGCTCCCGCACCGTTGATCGTCAGGTTGAGAGTGTATACCGGATAGTCCCGCGGCGTTAACGTACGTTGTCTGTTGAGATTTCCGTTGAATGTGGGCGATAGCTGTGGATTGGCGTATAATATGTGTCCGTGCAATAGTTCGTATGGCGTCATTTGTTTTCATGGTTCTTTAACCAGTTATTATTTGTTATGTCGTGCATGTAGTGAGAGTGTTTAGAGCTGAGATGGTTTATGGGTTGATGTTTGAGGGCACCACGGCAAGCTCACTTTTGACTTTGGGGCGTTGGTTGGCTGTGTGAACTGAAACGCCTGGGCCTCTTTCGTTATCTACATCGCGATTGCTACCACTTTTTTTCAGTGGTTGTTATTATTCAGTGTAATATTGTGTAGAAGTCAGCAATTTAAGTACTTATTTGTTTATGAAAAATGTTATTTAAGCCGATGCCAGATGCATAGTAGTAGAAATAAATATAGTATGAAGCGTGCATCTCTTTCTTCATGTTACATTGAAGTTTTCTATCGATTTTAATACTTTTATTTCAGTGTTTATTTCGCCATTACGTACACAAGTTGTTTACTTTAAATTAACTTTCATTTACGCTTTATAAAAAAGGAATTAACGCATCGCGCCGATAGTAGAGAGCACCATACTTCACGGCTGTCACATGACTTAACTCACTGACGCGTGCTGCGCGCGTTGTTCAGGCTGAAGTCTCAGTGGGAACAGCGGCATTGCCGAACTCCCCGACGACGTTCCACAGCGTCATGGCGTCGCTCCATCGCAACCTCGACGTCTCCCGCAACCGGCCTGCGCCGGCTTTCCAGAGGGCGCGCGCGGTGCGCGCTGCTCGCCACGTCCTCGCGTCCGACAACGCATCGCGAGCTTAGCGCGGGCTGCCCGCGCGGCTCGCTTGGCGACCGACGTGCCTCCGCTGCCCAGCTGGATGGGAGCTTCCCGCGCGTTGTGTTTGGCTGGCTGCTTGGGCCGCTTGGTGCTGCGGCTCTATAATGCTCGCCGCCGCTGCGCCGGAGTCGGCCGACGCGGCTGAAGCCTCATGCACGCTCGCGTGTCCCGAACACCAGATGGCGCTAGCTGCCCGAACGTGATTGTTCGGCGGTGACCGTGAGGAGGATGTGATGTACAGTGTGACTCTCCCTCCATAAGGCAACTTTCGGCCTGAGCCTTGATCTCCCCCATGGCAACGTTTCCGCTGCCTTGATCTTCCTCCATAGCAACTGTTCCTGACTTTGACCTTCCTCAAGGTAACTCTCCCTGACCTTGACCTCCCCCATAGCAACTGTTCCTGACTTTGACCTTCCTCAAGTACTCCCTGATTGACCTCCGGACCATAGCAAACAGTTCTGACCTTGCGCTTCCTCAGGTAACTCCCTGACCTTGACCCTCCCCATAGCCACAGTTCCTGACAGGCTTTGACTTCCTCAAGGTAACTCTCCCTGACCTTGACCTCCCGCAGAGCAACTGTCCCTGATTTTGATCTCTCCTAAAGTCACTGTCCTTGACCATTCTCTTAGTACCCCGTAACCTGCCGTCAACCTCCGCCCGAGCTAATATTACTGAACTCGCGATTGAACTAGAAAGGATGTTCTACAGGCAGGCGTGATTACGTTCTCAGTTCATCTAGCAGACACAGTAGATCAGGAACTGTGTTAACATGTTAGAACAACCGCTAAGAGATAATAGTTTATAATAAGATGGTTTTAAGAAGCATAACGTTACGCAACAATTTGCGACGGTTTGTATTTGATAATGTGTGCGACGCCTGCCTCAGGGCTGGCGCGCACCTCTCCTTGTGCGGTGTGAAGTGGATTCGCAGCGCTGGCGCCAGCCTATGCGCTTTCCTGACGCGGAGAATCTACACAGTTCATTGCACGCTCATCCGGCTCAGCGGCAAATTACAGGAAGGTGGCGATCATCATTTGCCAACGTGACACTCCTGGCCTACTCCTGCACTCACCTCTGCACTGGGGCACTCTGCACTCCTGGCCCTCGCAGCACTCTGCAGCTGGGCACTCGCTGCCACTCCTGCAACTCGCTGCCACTCATTTGCCACTCCTGGGAGGCGGGCACAATTTATCATCGAAACAAGATGTGCACGCATATAAATAAATAAAAAATATACATACATATATATATATACATGAATTTATATATACTATTTACTACTTACTAATTATAACTATATACTGTTTATAATTATGTTATATTTATGTTATTATGTTATAATATATATTATAATATATATAATATATATTATATATATTATTATTAGTATGTAATTACAAGATGCACAACGAAGAGTAATCTTGACGTGCGTATATTCCGTTCGAGGCTGCCTTCTGACGTGTGACGTTGTGTGTGCGTGACTGTGTGCGTGACCATGTGCAGGACGTGGTCAGCCTCTACACGGAGTGTGACCTGGACAAGAACGGATCGCTGGACGCGACGGAGCTTCCCCGTCTAAACGATCATCTCTACGCGAGGCTGCCACGGCTCGGCACCCACACGAACCGGGTACATTCTCGCTCTCATTCCTCTCTGTCCTCGCTCTCTCTCTCCTAGTAATATATATATATATATATATATATATATATATATATACTATCCCAAATACTACCACACTCGCCATCAAACCTCGAGCCACACCGGAGCAGTGTATATAAAGATGATTTGCATTCCAAACAAATTAATCTTACTTGTTGTTATTGAATCTAATTATTACTGATGATTTTCTAGCTTGTGATATTTATGGATGGCTGATAATAATGCAAAACCCAATAATCAATCCAGCAGAAACCGTTGTGCAAGTTTATAAATGTGTATTTAAATACTTTTACTATACATAACTTCTCTATTATTCACTCCTGATAACTTATTAATACTACGGTCCACAGTCTATTACATCACGGCGGCTAAAGTCGAGTGTTTTTTACATGCATATTGCAAACAACAGCAATGCGAATATTTTACGTCACCACATGCACACCGACGCACGCACGCATGTACCCACAAGTTACGCACACACGCACGCACTCGCGCGAACGCACGCACGCACCCGCGCGCACGCGCGCATGTACCCACACACACACAAGCACGCACGTACGTACAAGCATGACAGTGAGCTATTGATCATCAGTGCGGCTTGCTCTCTGTGCTGCTCCTATGTATGAACTACTGCTGCTACCAGCACGAAAACAACACACGTTCGTTATATCAGAGGTTAGGGTTAGGGACCAATTAAGCCTTAGTTAGTTAGGTCTGCAGTATGGAAAAGAAGTACCACACACGATATTACATTTGAAAAACTACATGGTCTGTAGTTTATGACAGAACGCTAAATTAATGAATTGACACCATGTCTAAGGGGGCCTTTGTGAAGATATGTAAGAGTGATTAGATAAGGAGACTGATGAGAGATTATATATCCTTATCATCCTTACTTCCCCTAACATTGGTCTTAACATTAACTTTGCGTCATAAACCGTTGACAGAAACATGGTAGAGTTACGAGTTTCTCATACGCAGTGTGTAGTCCGGTCCCAGAGAGTCCGGTCCCGGAGTGTCCGGTCCAGGAGAGAAAGTTAAATTGTAGGACTAATGTTAAGAGTAATTCGGTTTCTGACAATGGGGCCCGTGGATCCAACATGTTAGATTCTAGAATTCTATGCGGAATCACGTGATACGCCTTCCCTTCACGATCACACTGTTGACGAGGGGAGATTTTACCCACGCATAAATAGTTTGGGGGCGGGGGAGTTTCCTATTTACGTGGATGAAGATTCAGTTTGTGACGATTCAGTCTCATTTCTGAAGCATCTGCCACCTCAACTCGTTCATCTACGTTTGATCAATTCGCGTGCAAGTGGGAATCGACCTGTCTGAAATCTGTCTGACCGGGATACCCACGCCCCTCCCCTCCCCCTTACCCCGCCACACTGCCTGGATGATGTTGATAGGTCGGCCAAGCCAGGCGAGATGTTTCACACACGCACACAAAACCTTCTACTCTGCTGCACTTCGTTGCTAAGCAGTGTTTTTAGTGTGTCCTGTCACAATGCTGGTTGACTAGATCTTCCTGTTAAAATCGACTATAAATACATATTTTGTTGCGAAGGGATAGATTGTCTTATTCGTCCCTTCGCAGAGAAATACTTCGCTGAGAGGAGAGATGGAGGGTAATCGACCTTCGTCTTTTGCATCTTTTCAGGTGCCGAGCATTTCATAGATATGGAGGGCATAACATACGACTGCGACGAGATCCCGTTTGACTCGCTGCTGGCTGATGTCTGGTTCTACTGCGTAGTCGTGCTGTCACAGAGAAATGTACGCTTATCCCTGTAATGCTACCACCAGTCATTGCTCCAATAATCTCGGTTGTTCATGGAATGAGAAATAATGATGATGCTGACGACGATGATGGTGATGATGATGATAATGAATGATGATGATTATGATGATTATGATGATGATGATGATGATGATGATGATGATGATGATGTTGATGAAAACAATAATAATAATAACAATAATGATAATGATAGTGTTGGTGATGACAATAATAATGTTAGTGATGACAATAATAATGTTAGTGATGACAATAATAATGATGATGGTGATAGTGGTGGCAGTTATAATTGTTATAACAATAGTGTTTCATAATTCCTATGACTATAAGAGAATTATTGTTGCATATCTGATTAGCCTCTACAAATTTAGGTTAAATTATCGAACAAAAGCTGCAGTTCCTCCAGTAGAACCTTCTATTGTTTGTAGGTGGTGCTACCAGTCTACGACAAGATTGTTACTGGAAATGACACGATTACACTCGATACGGTAACACTATTATAGTTAAGTGCTACATACGGAATACAATAATACAGAATAATACCGCAGCAATTAAGGTTAACGAATCGTCGAAGAATTAATTCAATGTTTGCTGCATCGGTCTAGGTTTCACGAGGAATCTCCGTCATGGTGAGGATGTATGTGGACATGCTGAGTATGTTCTCTTGTTTCGTGAGTACGTACAGAGACATCTGCAGGTCTCTGGAACACGACTATGACCCAGCGCTGCCATCAAACTCTGAGGTGTGTGACACAGAAACCAGGAAATGTTGTCACATGTCATATTATGAAAACATCCTGATTATGTGTATCAGATAATTATAGGCCACATATATAAGTCATATATCTGTTACATGTATGTTGTATATATGTTACACATATAGCATATATATAATGCATGTGTATGTGGTATATATATAGGTCACATGTATGTCGTATATGTGTTACATGTATATTGTATATATGTAACATATGTTGTATATAAGTTACACGTATATCGTATATAACTCACTTGTACGTGATATATATAATTCACGTGTACTTCATATTTGTTACACTGCATGTTGTACAGATGTTACACATGTATATCATTTCATTTATAACCAAGGCCGTACGCAGGAAATTTTCTGTAGGGGGGCAAATACGCAGGAAATTTTCTGTAGGGGGGGCAAAGGTACTCCCCACGCCCTCTATTGCCCTATTTGTCCCATTAAAAGGCATACTCTGAAAATCTCTAGGGGGGGCACCTGCCCCTGCTGCCCCCCCGCTGCGTATGGCCCTGTTTATAACTCAGCATAGTGTATGTCACATGTCACCCTACATACCTAGTATACATAGATTCACGCCATGTAATATTATTTTCTAAGATAGATTCCGCATCATAATATTCAAACTGAGAATGGAAACAAATTTGTAAAAAAAACTTTCAGGAGTTGCGAAGATTATTTGTGGAATTTCGGTCTATCGTTTTGACGTTCACTTGTTGTTCGCGCAGCGGCTGACGGAACTCGCACAGATGCACATAGAGGGCCAGCTGGTAAAGTTCTCGGCCGGTCAGCACAAGTCGCGCTACAACTGCCCCGTCCATGCGCAGACCTACTGTCCGGACGAAGGCTACACCAGCTTGGACCTGTCTCTCTACCTGCCCTACGCACCGTTGATCGTCAGGTGAGAGTGTATTCGGAATCACGCCGTTAAACGTCACGTTGTCTGTTGAGATTACGTTGATGTGCGATAGCTGTGGATTGAGCGTATAATATGTGTCAGTGCATAGTTAACGTATGGCCGTCATTTGTTTATGGTTCTTTAACCAGTTATTATTTGTTATGTGGTGAATAGAGCTGAGTTGGTTTATGGGTCGATGTTTGAGGCACCACGGCAAGCACTTTTGACTTTGCGTTGGTGCTGTGGTGAAACTGAAACCCTGCACTACTTTCGTTATCTACATCGCTTGCTACCACTTTTTTTCAGTGTTGTTTATTATTCAGTGTATATTGTGTAAAGTACACAATTAAGTACTTATTTGTTTATGAAAAAATGTTATTTAACCATCACAGATGATAGTAAGTAGAAATAACATATAGTAATAACCGTGCATCTCTTTCTTCATTTACATTGAACTATCATTTTATACTTTATTCTCAGTGTTATTTCCCATTACGTACACAAGTTGTTACTTTAATTAACTTTCATTTACCTTATTAAAAAAAGGAAATTAACCATCGCCGATAGTAAGAGGAGCCACCATACTTCCACCCCTGTCACACTGACCTTAACTCACTGAACGTCTGCCGCGTTGTTCCAGGCTGAATCTCAGTGGGAACGGCATTGCCGAACTCCCCGACGACACGTTCCAGCGTCTGCCGTCGCTCCACCACCTCGACGTCTCCCGCAACCGCCTGCGCCGGCTTCCAGAGGGAGCCGCCGGTGCGCGCTGCCTCGCCACGCTCCTCGCGTCCGACAACGACATCGCGGAGCTTCCCGCGGGGCTGCCCGCCTCGCTGGCGACCCTCGACGTCTCCGGCTGCCCGCTGGATGGACTTCCCGCCCGTGTGTTTGCGCTGCCTGCTCTGCGCACGCTGGTGGCGCGCTCTATAATGCTCGCCGCGCTGCCGCCGGACGTCGCCGACGCGGCGAGCCTCGTCACGCTCGACGTGTCCGAACACCAGATGGCGCTACTGCCCGACGTGATGTCGCGGCTGACCGGTGAGGAGGATGTGATGTACCAGTGTGACCTCTCCCCCATATGGCAACTTTCCCTGACCTTGATCTCCCCCATGGCAACTCCCTGACCTTGATCTTCTCCATGGCAACTTTCCCTGACCTTGATCTCCCCCATGGCAACTCCCTGACCTTGATCTTCTCCATGGCAACTTTCCCTGACCTTGATCTTCCTCCAGGTAACTCTCCCTGACCTTGACCTCCCCCATAGCAACTGTTCCTGACTTTGACCTTCCTCAAGGTAACCTAGGGGGCGCCGGGAAGACAAGGTAGTGTCTATGTGAGCGGCGTGCGAGTCCTATGTGCGTGGCGCCAAATCTGGGGATGAAGAACGAATGCAATCCGGTGGTGCTGTGTGTGCGCGCGCGTGTGATGATTGATGAGTTGTGGCACGCACGTTAGGTTCTTTTCTGTTCTTGTTTTAGGCCAATTAAAAATACATACTTACGTGTGGCATGCATAATCTAATACGTATTTGTGAATGTGTGTCTGCTTTGGTCTGTTCTCAGACAGATGGCAAATCAATACGGAGGCACTCTAAGAAGATGTCAAAGATGGAGCGCAGTAGGGGTTAAATTTTGGTGGCTGAATGTCAGGCAGCATTGGTTGACGCTTGCGAGGTTATCTAAGCTAAAAAACGGATAAAAACGAAAATATACTGGCCACGCTGCAGCAGCAATTAAATCAATGCCACCTGGCAGCTAACACTAAATAAACGGGCCCTGTAGCAGCATTAAACTGAAAACGGGATTCACGTTTGTAGCAATGCGCGTTTACATTGCGTTACTATACATGCATGCTATACATATAAATATTGGATAGATAGATAGATAGATAGACAGACAGACAGACAGGACAGAAAGACAGATAGATAGATAGATAGATAGATTATATTTGGGTATTTAGCTGTTTCAGCATTTTTTACATACTTATTCACGAGCGCTTATTTGCGCGGCGGGCAACGCGCGGTTGCCTTGCTAGTAATATATATATATATATATTATAATATATATATATAGTACATATATAATATACTATTCCCAAATACTACACACTCCGCCAATCAAACCTCGAGCCACACCGGAGCAGTGTATATTAAAGATGATTGCATTCCAAACAAATTAATCCTTTACTGTGTTGTTATTGAACTCTCATTATTACTATGATTTTCTAGTTTTGTGATATTTATGATGGCTGATAATATATGCAAAACCCTAATAATCATCCAGCAGAAACCGAGTTGTGCAGTTTATATAATGTGTATTTAAATACTTTACTATAAGGCATAACTTCTCTATATTCACTCCTGATAACTTAATTAATACTACGGTCCACAGTCTATTGACATTCACGGCGGCTAAAGTCGAGTGTTTTTTTTACAATGCAATTTGCAAACAACAGCAATGCGAAATATTTTACGTCACCACATGGCCACATCGTACGCACGCACGCATGTACTCCACAAGTTACGCACACACGCACGCACTCGCGCGAACGCACGCACCGCACCGCGCGCGCACTGCGCGCATGTACCCACACACACACAAGCACGCACGTACGTACATAAGCATGACAGTGAGCTATGATCAGTCAGTGGGGCGGCTGCTGCTCTGTGGCTGCTCGCTATGTATGAACTAAAACTGCTGCTACCAGCACGAAAACAACACCACGTTCGTTATATCAGAGGTTACGGGTTAGGACGCAATTAAGCCTTAGTTAGTTAGGTTGGCAGTATGGAAAAGAAGTACGCACACACGATAATTACTTTGAAAAAACTAACATGGTCTGTAGTTTGTGAGGCAGAACGCTAAATTAATGAATTGACACAATGTCTAAGGGGGCCTTTGTGAAGATATGTAAAGAGTGATTAGATAAGGAGACTGATGAGAGATTATATATGCCTTATCATTCCTTACTGTCCCTAACATTGGTCTTAACATTAACATTTGCGCATATAACCGTTGACAGAAACATGGTAAAGTACGAGTTTCTCATACGCAGTGTGTAGTCCGGTCCGCAGAGAGTCCGGTCCAGGAGAGTCCGGTCCAGGAGAGAAAGTAAATTGTAGACTAATGTTAAGAGTAATTCGGTTGCTGACAATGGGGCCCGTGATCCAACATGTTAGAATTCTAGAATTTCTATGCGGAATCCCACGTGATACGCCTTCCCTTCCCGATCACACTGTTTGACGAGGGGAGATTTTACCACGCATAAATAGTTTGGGGGCGGGGAGTTTCTATTTACGTGCATGAAGATTTAGTTTGTGAGGCGATTCAGTCTCATTTCTGGAAAGCATCTGCCACTTTATGCCTCAACTGCCGTTCATCTTAACGTTTGATCATTCGGCGTGCAAGTGGGAATCTGACCTGTCTGAAATCTGTCTGACCCGGGATACGCCACACCCCTCCCCTGCCCCCCTTACCCCGCCAGCACTGCCTGGATGATGTTGATTAGGTCGGCCAATGCTAGGGCGAGATGTTTTCCACACGCGACACAAAACGCTTCTCCTTCATGCTGCACTTCGTTTTGCTAAGCAGTGTCTGTTAGTGTGTCTGTCACAACGGCTGGTTGACTAAGATCGCCCTGTTAAAATCGATCTAAATACATGTTTTGTTGGCGAAAGGATAGATAGTCTTATCGTCCCTTCGGGCAGAGAAATAGCTTCGCTGAGAGGAGAGATGGAGGTAATCGAGCTCGTCTTTGCACGAGTTGCCGCCGGCGGGCATCATCACTGCAGCGTTGCAGCTCGTGATTCACTAGCGCGTCTCAGCGTTGACTCGTGATGTGCCACTGGCGCGCCTCAGCATTGACTCACGATGTCACTGCGCGTGTTCTCAGCTGACTCGCGATGTCCAGCTGCACGTCTCAAGCGTTGACTGCGTGCATGGTCATCTGCGTGTCTCGCATTGACTCGTGATGTTCACTGGCGCGTCTCAGCGTTGACGTCGCGGTCGTCACTGCGCATCTCAGGCATTGACTCGTGAATGTCAACTTGGCACGTCTCAGCCGTGACTCGTGATGTACACTGCGGCGTCTCGCATTGACTGCGAGTGACGTCACTGCGCGTCTAGCATTGACTGCGTGATGTCAGCTGCGGGGCATCTCAGCATTGACTCACTCTGTCACTGCGCGTCTCAGGCGTTGACTCGTGATGTCATGCTGCGCGTCTCAGCGTTGACTCGTGATGTCACTTGCGCGTCTCAGCGTTGACTCGTGACGTCACTGCGCGTCTCAGCGTTGACTCGTGATGTCACTCGCGTCTGCAGCGTTGACTCGTGATGTCACTTGCGCGTCTCCAGCGTTGACTCGTGACGTCACTGCGCATCTGCAGCGTTGACTCGTGAATGTCAGCCGCGCGTCTCAGCGTTGACTCGTGATGTCACTGCATGTCTCGCGTTGACTCGTGATGTCACTGCGCATCTCAGCGTTGACATCGTGATGTCAGCTGCGGGCATCTCAGCGTTGACTCGTGATGTCACTGCGCATTTTCAGCGTTGACTCGTGATGTCACTGCGGCATCTCAGCGTGACTCGGTGATGTCACTAGGCGCGTCTCAGCGTTGAGTCGTGACGTCACTTGCGCGTCTCAGCATTGACTCGTGACCGTCACTGCGCGTCTCAGCGTTGCCTCGCGTCATCATGCGCGTCTCAGCATTGACGTCGTGATGTCACTGCAATTCCTCAGCATTGAAACTCGTGAATGTCACTGCGCGTCTCAGCATTGACGTCCGTGACGTCACTGCGCGTCTCAGCGTTGCTCGCCTGTCATCAACTGCGCGTGCTCAGCATTGACTCGTGACGTCACTGCGCGTCTGCAACGTTGACTCGGCGCGTGCGTCACTATGGTATGCGCGCTCAGCATTGGACGTTACGTGACGTCACTGCGCCGTCTCACGTTGACGGTCGCGGTCGTCACTGCGCGTCTTTACTCCAGCGTTGCCGGATTGGATCGCGTCATCACTGCGCGTCTCAGCATTGACTTCGTGACGTCACTGCGCGTCTGCAGCGTTGACTCGGCGTCGTCAACTGAGGCGCGTCTCAGCGTGACTCGTGAGGGAGGACGAGGCGTTCTCAGCGGTTGTACATCGCTTAGGACGAGCGTGTCTAGCGTGACGGTCCGCGACGACGAGCG